GGTCGAGTTTTGCATCAATAGAATCTCTACGAACGAATGATCGTTTAGTTGCGTAACCCGGTTCTTACGTCCCACTGAGCCTTTTCTCGGGCCAGCCCTGGCGGAAACAAACGGCGGACGTAAATTTTGGTTCAACGTGCCGTAGGATAGACGGATAATTAATTCTATGCGAAGCAATGCCGCGTACGAGTTGTGCGCGAGCCTCGAAGACGCCGCGTGAGGAAGTTAAAAAGTACACCTGTGCACGCGCTGTAACCCACCGAGGGATTAATGGGATAATTGTGAACGCACGATGGGGAATTCAGTCACTGTCGGGCTGCGCCAAAGTGCGTCATGAAAATGCATGTGAATAATAGCGTCTTGTAATCGTAAGAGATTAGTACAAGGAAATTTTCATATGACCACTTTCTCTCGGCTCTCTTACAGGCGATGTGAAGGATTGACTAGAAATTTTACGTCTTGCTTAGATATTCCGGAACTTCCTGACTGAGAGATGTTAATAATATATTCCCAGTTGCTCAATTTCTAATTGCTCATCTCTTTAAGAACTTATTGCCCGTGTAGTCTCTGCGAGAACTGAAAATTTGAAATACATTAATATTCGTATTTTACATATAAAAATATATAATATTAATTATATACATTATATTTATTATTATATACATTAATATTCATATTTTACATTATATTTATTATATTTTAATTATCTTTCCTTTTACTGAGAATAGAAACCTCATATTATTTATATAACAGCACGATTTAAAATAATGGCAATCGAGTCTAGATGACCTCAGGGGTATGTTTCGGATAATAAAAACTATTTTCATTCATAAAATGACTGAAATCAATGACTGAAATATGAACAGACAAGATAAAGTTGGTCTGTAATTAAGGAATGGTAAGAGGGATGTGGATATTTCTCATAGAGACTCTGAAACTACTAATCAGAATATATAATTTATATGTGGTTTTCTTATTTTGCGCTACTCGGCAATTAAATCCGATATCAGGGCAAGATGGTAATGTTGTATGTTTGTATCTTGACTATTACAAAACAAAATATACGGTTGACAGGATTGTAGCGGGCATTAACCTATAGAAGAAGGCTGCTTCTATCATGCTTGTACAGTCGGTTACAACAGTTAATTATTTAACTTCGAAATTCTGAAATATAAGACATCTAACTTCGGTCTTCTCTGCCAAGTAGCAAGATAACGTCAAAGGACGTATTAATGACGTTTTGTTGACGTTAGTAGCATCATTAAAGCGTCATTTGATGTCATGTTCGCTGGGCTTACACTTTAAGATGGAGTATTTTTTTATCTAGACTCTGAATCAATATTCAATTGTTTGTGATTACTTTTAGATGCAATATAAATTAATTTATATCTTCCTCAAAATTTTTTTCATTTTTAGAGAACACGAGCAGATTGGCATCCTTAAATACATTCTAAGTATAAATTTCACTCGAAAAGTAGAGTGATTATTGTAGAGTCACGCGAATTCAAATGGTTTCTCATTCATATAGAGTGAACTCTCCACTCTTAATCGTCGAGTGAATCGAAATGTTACTCGAAATCGTAGAATAAATCTAAATTATTCTACGATCACAGGAACAGATTCACCCTAATCGATTGAAACATTCGTTCATATGGAGTCAGAATCCACTCTAAGCGTGAGTGAAACATTTATTCTTACGATTTTGAGTTGCAGTACTTCCACTATCGCTTCTAGTGAAAGTACTGTCATTTCTTACTTACTTTGAGCGAGATCCCATTCCAAAAAAAATTTGGAGAGTACAATTATAAATAGATATCCTAGAAATTGTAGGCGTACACTAACCGATAGACTTAACACGCAGTGTCATTAGTTACTAGCATTTTGTAAGCGTTTTGAAACATAAATGTAAAACTATCTCAGTTACAGATTATTGATTTAGCACATTTCCCCTACTTCTCTAAATAATCAATAATTACAAATTAATAATTTAATCAATCAATAAAAATTATAAGTCAATAATGCATATAGTTAGAAAGTCCTGATAACCTAATAACTTATTTCTAATAAGTTAGTTACATAATAACATTACCTAATAACATTACCTAATAACATAGTTTGCGAGTTGAAACTAACATGAGTCTCGCCTGTGCATAGATTTAAGTAACTTTACTCGTTTCTTGTAGCAGAAATTTTACTGAAATAGCTGCCGCCACAAAATTCATATTCGGTATACTCGTATTTTTTCCGAATTCTCTCTCTTTCTCTCTCTCTTCTCTTTCTTTAGGGTATCGTTGCGCTAATCCAATCAAGACGTCGATACCAGCGGTCGCGGCTGCACGTTATAATGATCCCTCGTGGTCAGAGATACGTATCGTATCGACCTCCTCCTCATTCCCAGCCGTTTCTACGCCGTGCAACGTGCAATCTGGCGGCTGGTGATGGCCGGTGACGGTGGCAATGGTGTGGCGCTTGCACAATAGATTCAGTTTGATACATCGCCGTGGCACAGGAGACCGTTAATTTCGTGGCCTCCTGCCCCACAATGCCCCACACACCCCCTCGCCCGTCCTGCGTTTAGATTGCTATTCTCCGTCAAACGTCGTTCACGTTAATAACTCATCCAAGTAAATAATAGCAGTTAACGCTACGCGGCCGAGAACACCGTGCAGCCCGTCATTACCCAGATTTCACTGTTGCCGATCGACTCTAGGCGCAATTTGCATTCAATTTATCTCGCTACCGAGCGATCTCTCCGCCAGAGAGGAACAAGCAAGACTGTTGTTTAACGATCAAATTGCGATTTAGCGTTCGAAAGGTTTTGGTTTAGCACGCTTCGTCCTCTGTCCTTCGTCCTCTCCGTCTCTCTTTCTTTCCCTTTCTCTCGCGCGGTAGGGTCGACGTAATGTGATTTACGACAACATTGTGTATGCGGGCACGCTCCTGACGTGTGCAATTTGCATCCATCTTTAAAGTCCTTCCCACGATTTAACAGATGACTCGGTATTCTCGCGGATACTCGGTACGGTGAATAATGTAGTTTTAAAATGCTGCCCGAACTTTTATGAAGCATCAACAAATAAAGGATCGTTCCGATCCACCTCTATATGTCGGGTTTGGCGCGCGGAAGATTAACGATCGTTATCGTGTATCGTGAGAGAGCGCCGTATCGATGGCACGGAGATATGTGCCGTACGCGTTACAACTACGCGAAATTCAAGCACGTTCTGACGTACTTTAGGCAAATCGAACAGCGCGTTCAGTCCTACGAGGACGTCCTCTTGCCGAGAGGAGAGGAGACACACGTGCTTCGACTTTGAAGTCGTTCCACGCATGCCGAGAATTTCAGGCGCGCGTAAGTGACCTGACGTCGTTCATCGAAATGCTTCGGCAAGCTGACATCAACTATGATTCTGACAATGACACTGTCAACCTTCCAAAGTATCATCGTGTGAAATCGTCAATAAATCGCGACAATCAGCCTTACAAAAGCGAAATAGTAAAATTAATTAGTTTTACTATAAGACTAACACGGTAAATTTATTAGAGTGCGGTAAAGTTTTATTCTTTATGACTTTTTTTATGATTTTATTCTTTATGACTTTTTAGAAACGTTTTTTGTATACAAAATTAATGATGTCATTATGTAGCTAGAATACTTTGAAACGTTTAATAGATCCTACCTTAAATTATGATGAATATTAATTATACGTAAGCGAATGCTACACACTGAAAAATATATTCTGCGTTCACAAGTAAATATTGCTGGTATATTTTATAAATTTATGTATCTGTAAATTATCTATTTACAAATCTATTACAAGTTCATCATAGTCACCAAATTTATTCGAAATACATTCTTAATCCTAGTAACTTTAGCGTTTGAATCAAAAATATAAAATTAAAATAAAAATTTACTCACTACGTAGAGTCTAATTTTCTGCGATAAAGTTTTATAATATTCTTATAAAAAAAATAAATGTTTTTAATACATGATAATGAACTTTTCTTAAATTTGTGATGAATATATTAAAAAAATATTATTAAAAAACTATTTTATTGCGAAGATAACTATTACTAAAAGAAGTAAAATAAACTATATAATTGCTTTTCTTAGTAGTAGAATGATATTTTTTCTATGTATACACAGAAAAATATATACTGCATTCAAATAAATGTTACTTGTTTCAAATATTTCATATATTTCAAATATTCAAATATTTCATAAGTTTACATATCTGCAAATCTATCATAAGTTCATTCTAAGCAACAAATTGATTTAAAATATGTTCTGAATTTTAGCAAGCTTAGCATTTCAATCAAGAATATTAAAATAAATAAAAAATTTAGTTGGCTTAATCTGGTTTCTAAGTTGATGACGTGTCTTCCGTAGTTTCCGATATTTAGCATTTTATTACATTGCGCGCGGAAGTTTAAAATATTAGATTAAATACTTCTAAGGGGACAGTTACTAAATGCAATTTGCTTACCACATAGAGTACTAACTGTTTCTTTGATAAAGTTTTAAAATATTCTTTTGAACAGACTAAATTTTTCTTTTGAGGATATATGACAATTTTTTGAAATTGTCATGAGTTTTAAAATTATTATTAAGAAAACATTCTTTGTTACCATTGCTTAAAAGAAGGTAAGCGAGCTGAGTAATCGCTTCTCTTTACAGTAGAATGATGATATTTTTCTCGTGTAAAATACACAGTATTGAAGAAATTTACCTCGGCCTTTCGTAACTTCTGAACGCTCGCTATTTCGACTCGTCACGATCCTTCAAAGTTGCACCATACTTTTAGTCAAGATCATGTGTACTGTACCTCGTTCCATCTTCGTGCTCTCCGCCTACCTGAGCCCTCGATCAGGAAAAAATTTCCCATCGCGGCGAACGTCCCAATTATCGTGCAGCACGGTAATAATCATAGTCGTGCTGTCTACGAGGTGTTCACGAATCGGCCGATCGATGCTCATGTGTTCATCCGTTTCTGTTTCAGGAACAATGCCAACGTCGTCGTCCCGCCCACCGTCGTGGCCGCGCCGAGGAAAGAGCCGCACGAGAACATCGCCCGGATAGCGAAGCGGTATCTCGACGATAACATGCAGCAGGCGTGGATCAATCCTCGTCTAATATCGATGGTGAGTGAATATAAATGCAATGATTATGCGCACGTGCGCCTATCCGTGCCCATTATCCTTGGCCCGCGAGCATGCACACGTGGGGGGTGCACGCGTGCGAGCGAGCGAGCTCTTTCCGAGCCGGCCAACAAATTAGTTTGCGGCCGGACTTCAACATTGGGAAAGTTTCGTGATTAATTTATTGGGCGGAAATACGTGTATACTACATCTCCGCCGCCGCCACCGCCGTTACGGAAGTCGAAACGTGGAGTTTCTAACTCGCCCGGACTATTTCTGCGATTTCTGGTTAGAGAACCCGGGTCGGTCTCGGGCCGATAGCGCGCTGGATCTCTTGCAGCATCGACGAGACAGCGTTGGGATTTCCACGGTGCTGTTCGTTGGCGGGAAATGCCTTTACGATATCGCGGGGCGCGTCGTTCGATCTGTAAAATGGCCGCGCAGAAACTGGCGGCAGGTTTTTACGACTCTACGAAATAGCTCGTGAGATTCCGCGCTAAATTCGTCCTCCGCTTTTGGTGGAATTTTCGCGCGACACACAATTATAATATTCGAAATCTAGTATATATCAGAGGTACTTCCCCTCCCCCATAAGAATAATCAAGTATTTACAAATTTCTTATTCTTATCAGTTTCTATTTAAACTGTTTCTACTTAAAATTTTCGCGCGACACACGGAGAGGATATTATATATAGTTTTTTTTTCATGTAAATTCTTTCCATTTTTACTATATTTTTACATGGAGAAGACACTAAGGATCATTATTTGCTTAAATAAGGTTGCCATAACAAAATATTAATGTTAGTTTTTGCTCATATATACAAGTTGGTTGTAGTATAACCACAGTATTCTAGAAATAGTACACTATATATATAATTTTCTTTACTGCCTATCTATATGCGTTTGAGCAGTATATTTTTAGTGCTATATGGTACAACCAAACTCTACGGATCTTTCAACCACAATATTTATTCTGCAGGCCACAACAGAGAGACAGTAATATTCCTTTGGTTGAGGCAACTATGTGTACGAAGATGTGCTAACTGAATATATAAGAACTATATTTATGAAAACTATATAAATGAGCATATAATAGCAACTTTTAATGCCATATTTATTTCACTTGAAATCACATAAATTGTCTCTCTAACCATTGAATATGTGGACATAACAACTATAGTAGTTTTTTCCGTATAATAGCGCAGGAATAAACTCTAAGGAATATAGTAAATTTTGAATATGGCTAGAAACATAGCAAATTTTTTAATAGCCCATTTCAATCCCTGAAATATAAGTAACATATACGAAATAAATGGTCAATCAATTGCTGTAAAATATCAATCTATTCCTCGGTTACGTAATTCTTACTATAAATTTGTCTTCGTGTATAAACAATATTTTCTTATAGATCTTTATTCTGAACTTTTTTTGTCAATGAAAGTGTCTCTAAATGTGTTTATGCAACCTGATCAAAAGATTTATAAGTCACATTTAGAATTACTTTTATTGATAAAAGAGAATTTAGAATAAGGAGCTTAGTGTGCTATTTGAATAAAATATTTCACTTATTACATTTTATTAAAAAATAAAAACTGTGTCTACAGACTTTTAAATGTATATTATGTTGAAATACTTGGCTTTTCTTATGGACACTTCAGAGATATATTCGTTTGCTATCTGTCAGAACGTCGAGAACTGAGAAAGACTGTATTTCAACATCTTAAAGGTCAGTTGCTAGTTTGCTTGAAAAACAAGATGAGATATTGTCTTATAATGAACTTGTATTCAACACTAATTTTTATCAGTAACAATAAACATGTTAGATCTAGAATATTTTTTTTGAAAGAGAATGTCTTGATTAACTGTAGAGTGTCCGTTACGGGTCCTGTTGCTTTTCGGGGTGTATAAATATCAGACGAATTCCGTTATACTCCATTAAGGCTAGATACTCACCGCGGAACTCTTGATTGATGACATCAGGAATAGGAAAATGCATGTCTAAAATTGTTGCGTGACGTTTCCAAATAAAAATATATTTGTATGAAAGATCATTTCTAATCACTTGAGCATACTTATAAAATGCTCTGAAAATTATCCTTTTTCATTGACAGTCAATAAATAACCGTAAAATTAATGCGACATGCAGTCTTCTCTTTTAACCTATCTTTTATGATTATTTAATTTTAATTTTAGCACGTTCATTTTACGGCTATTTATTACATATTAAGGAAAAAGAATAATTTTCGGAATATTTTGCAATTATGCTCAAATGATCTGAAGTGTTCTTTTATACAAATACATATCTTTTTATCCTGAAATGGCATGCAAGATCTTCCAGCGTGTCATTTCTCGCTTCTAACGTCACAATCCAATATGGCAACGGTGAGTATCCAGGAGCCTTAAGGTGGATGAGTGGTCGAGCCAGTGTTGCTGACGTTTCGAATATTGTGGAAATAAATCACACACAGCGCCGACTCAAGTGTCTCATTAGAGTCGTAATTGAGCCACTCAAACGCTCCGCGTGCCTTTGATTCCAAGATTAGTTTGCAATCAGCACAGAGCTGCTCCGCACGTAACCCAGATACTTCTCATGAAATGTAAATTTAACAACGAATGAATGCAGAAATAACTGTAAGTCGGACGATCTCATTATCATTAAGGTTTTTCTCCCCGTTAATATGTTGCTTTTCAACGATTTCTCCTGAGAAGCAAACAGAAGAAGGCGAATAAAAAGAAGGTCGCGTAAACATTTGAAATTTTTTACTTTCTTACATAATGTATCTCATATTTTCAGTTTCTTCATTAAATTTGTATACCTTTTTCAATGCACAATTTGATTTATATGTAAAAATATATATGAAATTATTGAATAACGCGGAGATAACTCATTTATTTTATATATAATATAGTAGAATTCAGAATATGTTATGAATAAATTTGATACTTATGATGAAAACTTGTGATAGATTCGCGGATATAAACTTATATTTGGAAATATTTGGAACAAATATATAAATTTCCAATTATTTTAAATAATTTATGCAGCTCTCTTCTTCATAATTCATAAAATTAGAAATTTGATAAAAATTTGATAACATATTCTTTTCATCAAACTGCTCAAATTGCTCAATTAGTTTTATTTAAATTCAATGTCGCCTAATTTCTCCGTAAAAATCTACCGGAATGTTTATTATGCTGGGTATCGATTTAGAAAAAAGCATATTTTATAATTGTCTAAGAGTACGTTGTATTGTTCTATGTAGAGAGTTTGTTTAGTCTATTTAACGCGGTACTGAGAGGGTTAAAGAGTCAACGTCATCGTTCCAAATCTGTTTCTCGTCACGTGTCTTTCCTTTCCGCGTGTCCGTAAATTCGGGTTATGCCGGCATTCCAAACACGGTTACCAGTTATGTCGTTGGCGGCTTGGCACGACGCGCATCGGACTGCGCTTCAGACAGGTAGAACGAGCGAACGGGTCATTAAGCGAGCCAATAACAAACTCGTGATCCACATAACCCTTCGTTATGTTCGCGGGTGCTATTAGCCCGTGCAAGGCAGCAATCATTGCCTGCAGGTAGGACTCGTTTTGTAACATGCCGAGGCGGGCCGGTCGCGTCGTGCGAACTCATTATTTCCACTTCTTCCCGCCCCTCCTCCTCCCTTGCCTCTTGTACATCCCCTGGCGCGATCTACTTCTCGCTGCTCCTTTTCGTGGCACCTTCCTCGGTATTCCTTTTTCCCTCGTTGCAGCGACCTTATGTAATGTCTCAGTTGCGTGTTTCTCTCCGTGCACGCGGGGCTTGTTGCGCCGATGACTCGACTGTGCGAGCGCACCTGTGTGCACAGCACGCGACGAGCCCCTGGCGGAGGAACGCAAGGTGCAACAATGAGCATTATCGCGGCATGACGAATTGCGAATACCCGCGAGTCAGATGCAAATATCAGAGCTCGATCTTGAAATGTTACCTTAAACTCCGACTGAATAAAAATACACACACGCAGGCAAATATTATTCTACTACTAAGAAAAGTGATTATTCAACTTGCTTTCCTGCTTTTAAGTAATCAATTATCTTCAACGAAGAATCTTTCTTTGATAACATTCTTCAAATATACTTATCATAAATTTGCGAAAAACTCAATATCATATACTCAAAAGAATTTATTCTCTTTTCAAGAATATTATGACATCTTTCGAAGAAAAATAAAAAATTAACTTCAACTCTATGTGATAAATAAACCATGAAGTTTTATTTTAATTTAATATTCTTAATTGAAATATTAAATTTAGCAGAGCTTAGAATGTCTTTTGAATAAATTTGATATTAAGACTTGATTTGATGATAAAAACTTGTAATAGATTCGCGGATATATAAACTTATAAAATACTTGGAACAAGTAACATTTACTTAAATAAAGTATGTATTTTTTGTGTATATTATCAAAAATTGTGTAAAATCAAAAAGAAAATAAAGTTCTACGTTTTCTTGGTATTAATAATAAAAGGAAAACAGCATTTAATATAATCTTAATACATTGAAGAAACATACTTAAAACTTTATTTGCGAGATATAAAGTTTATTCATAGACATAAACTTTATGTCCTATAAATAAATTTTCAAATATTTGTTCTATAGTTTAATTACAGTGTTCTTGTGCATGAGGTTTTCAGATATGGTGAGAAATAATGTTCTGTCTAAATATATGGGCACACAAAGAGTCGTATCGAACGTCATCGGCGCTCTTCAGTCGACATTCTCTGATTGTTGTTCCAATAGAAAGATTTATCTCTCAAATGAAGCACGTACGAGACTCTCCGATCGCCTTTTCCCCGTACACTTTTCCCATCACTTGGGCCGTGGCGTTGGCGCGTGCATTCATCGGCATCGCGGTGATTTACGATCATTCGGTATTGCTTACGCCCGGCGGCTTTATTAGCATGATTGGAGGATAGATCGCAGTGCGTGCAACCGGATCGTCCTTTGGCTAGGTTAGCTCGATAT